AAGCCTGCGGTGAGGGACTCTGTGGTCATTGTGACGTGATAGAAGCAATCTGGCTGAGAGTTGTCCCGGCACATTCTTTCTGAGCCGCCTGTCCTCACTTTACTTTTCTCATTGGTAAAATGGAAATACTGTGCCCTGCCATCCCTCAGGGTTGCTGCAACAATCCAAATGAACTATTAAATGATGAGCTCTTGTCCCGCTGCCTCTAAGTCTGGGTATGATATGGTCCCACACTTTGCTCTCTAGAGTTACTGAAATCTCTTAAACCCTCACGAGAACTCTAACTTTGTTGTTCCTGTTATTAGATGAAGAAAGTGAGGCTTAGTGAAAAAATTTGCCCAAGATCACACGCTAGTAAGTGACAGAGCCGGGATGAGAATTCGACTCCAATTCCAAAACTTTCTGGCATAACTGAGTGTGTGGTTTTCCACTTTTCCCTAAAATCCTACCTGCATTTTTTTAATGGCTTCTGTTCTAGCTGACAACCCCAGGCCTTGTTTGTGTAATTTGTAGTCAGTTCCTCAGTTAGGGAAGCAAGCCTTAATTACCACTGGAGGACAGAAGGCTGCATCTCCCAGGAATTTGGCAGCCCCCAGCAGGAGGCAACCACAGGTCTTTGGCAGAAGATCACTTTTCAACAGCACTGTCAGTCCCCGTGACCCCCGACCTTCCACCTGCAGGTCCCCTGAACAGCTGCTGTTCTATGGGATGCAGTGGCATTCTCTTCTCTTAAAGGCAAATGCATGCCTCCCTTCCCGCTCCCCCCCTCCACCCCGCTGAGACCCCACCTGGGATTTCATCCCCAGAGCAGGGCGTCATCTCACATATCGAGAAATTGAGAAAAAAAATGGGAGGGAGAGGACAGCTTTGACAACAGGCCCTGAACTTTCTCTTCTAATATAAGCCAGATTTAACATATGTCATTCTGTAAATCCCAGAGTCCAATTTGAGGCTTGTAATTTTCTGCAACCTTCCCTGTGCCTCGGAGTGAGGTGGAGAGACGCCAAGCACATCAAGGTGACTGGAGGGAGATGTAATTTGCCCTTTGTGAGCCTACATCTCCGTTCCATATTGTAATTTTTATTTGTGTTGAGGTTTTGTGGTTTGCAGAAAGTCAACTAGATTTATTTTAAATTAAGCCAACCCAACATCAAAGGCAACCAGAGGAGGATGTTTTGGTATTATAAAGAAACCCTGTACGGTTCCTCTTTTATAGCTGGATTCTTTTTCAGGGCACGTAACAGTAAATGGTTAAGGGACCTTGCATTAGCAATTTGCCGTAGATCCCTGGCCTCAAACTACCACACCAGGTGAAAACCCTTTCCAATGGGACTTAGATGCCCCCTCTCTCCTCCTCCTCCTCCACCTCTTAATCTAATCCTGTTTGTAACATGGCATGCTGCGTGAAGAATAAGAAACAGGGGCTTAAGTTCTGTCTTGCTTCACAAGCTCCTGAGATGCCGGGAGCCTGCCGCTGCCCACAATTCCGTCTTCGGTACGTGGAGCTCTTACAGACCACAAAAGTGGGACCATTTGGTTCACGAGCCACTTACTGGGGAGGCAAAAGAAAGTTTATATTGAAAGTTTCTCTTTAGAAAAAACTGCAGGTAATACCTAAAGAGTTTTTTTTTTAAGACCAGACTTAATGGTTCGTCTGAGACTGGAGAGACCCTGGAAGACATGGCCCCCTGCACTGTCTGCTAGCCCAGAACTAAAACCATTCCCAAGGGCAACTCTTTAGATAAAGATTAGACGGGACTATGGGACATAAAATGATACTCATGAAGAGTGTGCTTCTTAGCTTAAGTATATACATGAGACTAAATGGGCAGCTCCTGTCCAGAGGCAAAAAGAGAAGGCAGAGAGGGTCGGGAGCTGGTTGAATGGACCCGGGAAATCTGGGGTGGAAAGGAGGAGTGTGCTGTCACAGTATAGGGAGAGGAACTAGGGTCACATAACAATGTGTATATAAATTTTTGTATGAAAGTCTAACTTGAATTGTAAATTTTCACTTAAAGCACAGTAAAAAAAGTTTGTTTTTTAATACTGTAGAATTTTTTTCAATCCAGATACTTATGTATGATGCATTCATTTATTGGCTCATATGAGAAACTCATGTGCTTCTGTTCCAGGCACTTTATAATTAATATATCTTATATATATATATATATAATATATATGTTCCTTACAACACCCTTTAGGAGAGGTACTATTATTCCCATTTAAAGTTGAAGAAATTGAACCAGAATCAAACTCCACACCTATCTGTCTCTTTCAAAGGGAGTCGACTTATACTTCTGGGCATAATTTGTATGCTTTTAGAGACTTTGTGTCTTCTGCAATCAATGGTATATTGATACTTGTGCTGTTCTGTGCACTTCTGCTATTTAACCAGCTTTCATAATGACTAGAGTAACCCTGTGCTGCCAGAAAGGTCAATGGTACCCAAATAGCAATTTCTCTTGGTACCAACAATATCCAAGTAGCATTTTCTACCATCAAAAGAGAATTTCCGCAAATCCACTGGCAGAAGGAAATGTATAATAATCGGTGGCATTTGTATGGCCCCATGTGCATCAGAATGTCCCACCATACAACCATGTATCTCAATAATTCCAAGTTTACCCCACTGGAAAATCACAGCTCATCTGAACCAGTGGAGTCACCGTCAAGGCTCACTCAAAGGCTCCTATTTCTGTAGCGTTATAATTTAAATGATGGCACTGGCTCACCTTAAGTGACCATTATCCACAGCCTTTCACCAATAGGATCTTCCCCAGAACAGAGACTGGGAATCACATTTCTCATTCAACATAGGCTGTCGATTGTTCTGAGATTGTCTGTTGCAAAGTTGTGATTTGTATTAAAAGCAATCTCAGACATGGGGTGCACCCCTCACTTTAATTTTTTTTTTTTTCGTTTTGTTAAAGTAGATGGGCTTTGCAATCGAATCCTGGTTCTACCACCTACTAACTGTGAATCGGGGGAAGTTATTAACTTTGTTAAGCCTCGGTTTGGTCCCTGGGTGGCACAAATATTTTGCCCTCGACTGCTGACCTGAAGGTTGGTGGTTCAGCTCAGCCAGCAGCATGTCAGGAGAAAGACCGGGTGATCTGCTTCTATAAAGATCACAGCCAAGAAAACCCTATGGAGTGGTTCTACTCTGTAACACATGGGGTCGCCATGAGTCAGAAACAACTCGATGGCAACTAATTTTTTTTTCTTAGCCTCAGTTTTCTTACCTGTAAAATGGAGACAGTAAACCTACTTCTTAGAACCAAAACACCAAAAAACCAAACTCATTGCCATCGAGTACATTGCAACTCATAGCGACCCTATAGGACAGAGTAGAACTGCCCCATAGGGTTTCCAAGGAGTGGCTGGTGGATGTGAATTGCCGACCTTTTGGTTAGCAGCAGAGCTCTTAACCACAGCACCACCAGGGCTCCCTTCTTAGAATAGCTGTCTTAGTCATCTAGTGCTGCTATAACAGAAATACCACAGGTGGATGACTTCAACAAACAGAAGTTTATTCTCTAGTCTAGTAAGCTAGAAGTCTAAATTCAGGGTGCCGGCTCCAGGGCAAGGCTTTCTCTCTGTGGGCTCTGGGGGAAGGTCTTTGTTATCAATCTTACCCTGGTCTAGGAGCTTCTCAGCGCAGGAAGCTCAGGTCCAAAGGACACACTATTCTCTGGCTCTCATTTCTTGGTGGTATGAGGTCCCTGTGCTCATGTCTGTCTTTTATATCTCAAAAGAGATTGTTTTAAGACATAACCTAATCTTGTAGATGGAATCTCATCAACATAACTGCTGCTAATCCTATCTCATTAGCATCGTAGAGATAGGATTTACAGCCCATAGGAAAATTGCATCAGACGCAAAATGGTGGACAGTCACACAATACTGGGAATCATGGCCTAGCCAAGTTGACACACATTTTTGGGGGGACACAATTCAATCCATAACAAGGGCTGAGATAATTAAATGATCTTTTAATATTAAACATCTTAGCATCTAAGGAGAAGATTCAAGTAGATTATTGTCTAGTGAAGAACAAATACAAACAAATAATTCTCAGTGTGAGAAATGTTCTAGCATAGATACATACTTTGGGAGCATGAGGTGACAGCGTCTAGTGATCTGAGGTCAGGAGTTGGGTAAGAGTTCAAAGAGGAGGTGACATATTTTGTGAGTCCCTAATGGAATTTATGGGATACCACACACACCTTAATTTCTGGAATAGATTAAATATAGAACCAAACGGGCCTATCTTAAAACAATTGGACCCATGTCTGTATAATTAACAGAAATTGTGCCCTCTGACAATATTTGAGTTGTCTATAAAATGAATAGTTTTAGTGGTAAACATGTATATTACAAAGGTAGACTTTGTTGTAATTCCAGCAAATCCAATTAGGTCAACGATACCTGTATACAAGACTAGGAATAGAGAAAAAAATTACAGAGGCTAGATATATAAGTTATCAATTTTTTAAAACCATAGTAATAAATTCAAGAGAAAAAAATGTTGAAATTATGATTCGTCATCATTTCACTTATTTGTGGTTATATTTAATAGCCTAATTAGCAATAAAATTTTATGAGTTAACATCACTATGAGAACATTCTTGACTACATTACTGAGCTTTATCTATAGATTTGTAATATAGCCATGATCATCTTAATGTGTTTGTTACATATTTTTTTTCAATGAACGCAGATGAACTTGCACTAATTACATCTTTAAGAAAGATTACTTATTAGCATCCAGTCTTGGTTTAAAAGTTTGAATTCATACTCCTTCAGAAAATGTATGCTATTTAAGGTGATGAAGACTTCAGATCTTCTTATAAACACAAAGAGGAGATACTTGAGAAAGAAAAATAGTGGTATCTTAATTATACTTTCTAAGTGATTATCTCACAACCTTTACCTTGAGATATTTCCCTAAATGACTAAGTAAAAAATATATAGTAAGATTTCTTTCTGGATATTTTCAGAACTCCTAGTTATAACTATGCACCAAATATGGATAAACACTGGATTATGCAGTACACGGGACCCATGCTGCCCATCCATATGGAATTTACAAACATTCTACAGCGCAAAAGGCTCCAGACTTTGATGTCAGTAGATGATTCTGTGGAAAGGGTAAGCACATGCACTCGCCTCCATGATAGGTTTTGGTCCAGCTTGCTTTGTGTAGACCTAGTCTTGCCAATCCTGTTTGCTTCTTTTTCATTTTCCAGCATCATCTTAAGAGAGACTGTGTATGTGTATGTGTTATTCAGTAACTTAATCATCCCTTCCTTACCTTTTCCCCATTTTTTCTGTCTACCTCCTCCGGCTTGGTTCTTATGGAGCCGATGGCAAAGGGGAGAGAAAAATCAAAACATTGTAAATCAGGGCCACATCCTCAAATACCTTCTGGAATTAAGCAAATCATGTAAATGAGTAAAGCAGGTCCAGTATAAGGCAATAGGGAATAGTGGTGATTGCGATGAACTTGAAATTAAGTGTATTTTCCAGGGTGGTGCAAATGGTTAATGCGCTTGGCTGCTAACTACAAGGTTGGCACCCAGAGGCACCTTGAAAGAAAGGTCTGGCAATCTACTACAGTTCTATTCTGACATACATAGAGTCGCCATTAGTCTGAATCAACTCAACGGCGACTGGGGTTTTTTTTTTTTTTTAATTTTGAAATGAAATAGATAGGCAGCAACTATTCAGCTCATGCTACTTTTTGCCCATGTAGAAACGTGGATGCGGTATTGCCAGATTTTCTGACTTTTTAAGAAAAGCCAGAAATACAAAATTTTTATGTGAAATTTCCTGAATTTTAATATATAGCATAAACCAAACAAAACGTACCTGAAAGCTGGATGCAGCTGGATCAGATGCAGAGGCAGCTTGTTTTCAACCCTGGATCACTAAATACGAGAGTGATAACATTAAAATTCGCTTTAACTTTGAATTTCTAACTGAACCCTATAAAGCGTGGTAGTGGAGGTTCTTTTGTGGGTTTTCAGTGTAGTGTAGTTGTTTAGTTTTGTTTTTTTCCAAACGGATGCACAAAACATGTAAGTAGAATGTTCCAGATTCAAGAAAGTTATGTTTCAATTGTATTATTGGACTTTTTCTCTCCAGGATCATAAGCAGCTAGAAAATGTGGATAATCTTTGTGTTTGTCAGCCTTATTAAAGCAACTCTTGCCTTTTTAAAAATAATGGGAAAAAGATTTGCGGGAAGTCATGGCAGCACTATTGAATGTCATCTTACATCATCACAATTGATTCTGACTTGCCCCTGTGCTGTATTTCAGCTGTATAATATGCTTGTGGAAACAGGGGAACTGGATAATACTTACATTATCTACACCGCTGACCACGGTTACCATATTGGACAGTTTGGACTGGTTAAGGGGAAATCCATGCCATATGACTTCGATATCCGTGTGCCTTTCTTTATTCGTGGTCCAAGTGTGGAACCAGGATCAATGTACGTATTTCTCCATTTGCGACATTCAGCTGTTGGAGTTGATGTATGACTGAAATAATTTGATTACCAGTTGCAGTGTCTGGTTTCCTTTCATCCAAAACAAGAAAGGGTAATGGTAGATTGGTAATTTAGAAGAGGAAAACCTCCCTCCCACCCCACACCCCGCCATATATTAAATTAACTAAAATATACTATGCAAAGAGAAAGGAAAACTAACTTTATCAACGATGAATTCTCTCAAATTGACCAGAATCCACGTCCTTTCGGTCTGTGTGCAAAGATGTAGAGTGTGATCTTTAGAAACACAACCCTTAACTTCTTTGAATCAGAGCTACCCTGTTGTTTTTTAAACAACCAATGCCATCCACGTAGTCTTTTATTGGTTAAATTATCACTAAAAAAATTTAAAAGACATCATGATTTTTTTTAAATTGTGGTAAAACTGTACATGACAGAACATTTTCCAATTTAACAGTTTTCTCATGTAACTTCAGAGAACATGATTTTCTTTTAAAAGAAAAGAGGCCTAAAGGACCGAAGTTGTATCTCTGTCACCCAGCTTTTGACCTTAGGCAAGTCATGAGTCCCTTTGCAGCTGTTTTTTCCTGTTATGAGTTTTAGATGCCCTGCCAATCACATCAGAATCTGGTGGATAAAATGAGATCATGTACATGAAAGAATTATGAAAAGAGTGGAAGTAGACTTCAAAACATGAAAGGACCCACAAAGAGCATCTAACCTGGACCCCTGATCGAACAACGAAGAAAATTGCTAGAGGGTTTAAGTGCCTCGCTCAGAGTCTGCTCTCAGATCCTAGAAGTGGCAGGTTTGGGGCCCAGAGCTCAGCTACTCCGAGTCCCATCCATCGGCATCTTCTGCTGCTCACTTATGCTGCATCCCAGGGAAAGGGTGATGGAAGTGAGAAGGGTTTCTTTTAAGAATGTTATCATGGCTTTGAAGATATTACAAACACTCTGGGAATTGTCAGATCTATGCTTAGGAGGCTTTATGTTGGAAGGAGGTTGCATGGGTTGGATTCAACTACAAAAACTTTGTGTCCTTTTTTAGAATTGATTTTCAAGCCTTAGTTCCACAGACAGGTTATGGACTGCAGGGTTTTAGAAGATCATGTACATTCCACAAAAACCATGTATTAGACGATGTCTAGCGATAATGGGCCATTCTCTCCAGTCTGACCCCCGTAGAGTCCATTAATCCTGTTGTGTGCCATTGCTGCCACCCACACACCAATCCTGGCCAAATGCATCCACCCATCCCTGGAGAGGCCGGATGAGACATGGAGAGGAGCCGAAGGCAAATGAGTCACAGCTGTAGAGAAAGCAACTGTAAATGCCACCCTCCACTGCTGTTGGCTCTGGGGTGTAACTATCTGTCCCTTTGCAGAGTCCCGCAGATTGTTCTGAACATCGATCTGGCCCCTACTATCCTGGATATCGCTGGTCTCGATACACCTCCCGATGTGGACGGCAAGTCTGTCCTCAAACTCCTGGACCTGGAAAAGCCAGGTAACAGGTGCGTCAATATTCTTCCCTCAGCCGGGCACCTAGAGCCAGCCAGCAGCTGAGAAAAGTGGAAGCAAAATATGCTTTGCCCGTCAGGATCACCCCAGCTGGGAATTTCTAGGCTGTGTGTGAATAGCACATTGATGAAGACGCAGTACTGGTCCACGGGAAGTGAGAGGTTTTTCTTTAAATAAACTGTTAGCACAGATCCATTTGGAAAACCGTCCAGATGCCAACAGTAAATATTGTTATTTTGCTTTCAGGTTTCGAACAAACAAGAAGCCCAAAATTTGGCGTGATACATTCCTAGTGGAAAGAGGGTAATTACTGGTTCCTGGGGTGCTTCTGGGAACCAGTCCTAGTGGGCAGCTCTCCCTGCTGGGTGTTTTTTTTCCTCCTTATTTTGGTGTACTAAGCATGCAGATTTCATAAGCCTCGTCACAAGACTGAATGCTTTGCTCCTCCTTCTCTGCTGGCCCGCAGAGTAATTATTGTTGCATCAGAACTGTAAAGAATAAATTCTTAGGCCATGAGGCCAAAGCCTTTACACACATATGGATAGGCTGTTGCATTTCTCAGCCTTGGTTTCTAATCAGACCAGTGGACTTGACTTTCTCAAGCATCCTTTTCAAGTCTGTCTCTTAGAAGCCTCCAAGGTTTGCCAACACCCGAGTTTCTACTTCTTCTTCTTATTCCACTTTCATGGTTTTCAGTTATATGTGATTGTAATTATTTCCATAGCCACTTCTGGGTTCCTCCTTTTGATTCATAATGCTCATTGACTTGTTCTTTTTGTACTTAAATTGAGAGAGAGAAAAGCATTTCTATAATTGTTTTTAGGGGAAAAAAAAAAAGGACTTTGAGCCTATAAAACTAAACACTTATGCCCCCAGGTTTGAAATTAACCCTTTGTTGGGGAAATGATTCTTCCTATCTTGACCTCTTATCTTGATAGGACCCAGCTCGTAATTTTCACAAGGGACTCATCAGATAACTGAACTCCTTTGGACAGAGTTTTAACATCTGTTTCTTGCTGTTGGGAGACTGTGGAGTCATGTGGCAGGGAGGAAAAGGGAACAGGCAGGAAAGGTAACTTAGATCACTTCTCAAGTAAGAAGCTTTTCCCTTCCTGTCAAAGCAAATTTCTACGTAAGAAGGAAGACTCCAACAAGAATATCCAGCAGTCAAACCACTTGCCCAAATACGAGCGAGTCAAGGAACTCTGCCAGCAGGCAAGGTACCAGACCGCCTGTGAGCAGCCTGGCCAGGTGAGTGACGCAGCTCTTCTTCACCACCACGTACGTGCTTCTCCATTTCTAATGTAAAAGGTTTGCAACATATAAATCAATGTACGTTTGTATGTAAGCAAGCTTTTCCACAGTGGTCCTGAGGGCAGGCTCACTGCTGACTGTTTTGCAGGGGTTGTCTAACTGGTCCAAGGTGGGCCCCTTCATCACTGCCTGGACTCCCTGCCGTTATGAGATGGTGCTCTCAGAGAAAGTTCTATGTCAGATCAGACTGGTTCCATCTGAAGAAATGATATCCTTGGGGGCCCTGTTACCTGATCATCAAGGAGTAGTTGAGAGACTACAAAGTCAAGACCATGGGTAGATGCTGAGTCTTTGGGCAGTGAACCACCCCAAGAGATGATGGGGTCATCTCACCCTAGGCTAAAGTGAGGTGTCATCGAACCCAGCATGGGGGACAGAACCTATGGCCAAGGTCGGGGAATGAAAAGGGAAACTATATTCTGCTTGTTCATTGTTTCTACCTCTGGTCACAGCATCTCTGACATCAAATATTTCATTAGAATGAATCCTTTTCATAAATAGAAATATTACTGTAGAGTCCAGGGCTACCCAGAACACCAACCATTATCAATAAGAGCTAAACACATGTCATATGATGAACTAACACAGACCTGCTTCTAAGGAAAGTAATTATACATGAACACAAGCCATTTTAAACACCCTTGGTTGAAATTTATACCAGCTAAAAGGAAAGGCTGTGTCATGATGAGAGAGGAACCGAGTTTCTGTCTAAATCATTGCAAATTGGAAGAAAATTGGAGGAAAGTGACAAGAACTAACATTTATTGAGCATTTGTTTTATATACGGCACTGTACACAGGATTCTATATATATTATCTCAATTTAATCATCCCAGCTGTCAAGTGAGGTGGGCATTATCATCCCCATTTTGCAAAAGAGAAGCTGGTGAGTGGCAGATTGGGATCAAACAAGAGCTGGATTCAAAAACTCAGGAAGCTTACTACCTTCCAAGATGTGGTTGCTGTTGTCAGCTGCCATCGAGTTGGCCCCAGACTCATGGCAACTGCACGCACAATGGAACAAAATGCTGCCCAGTTCTGTTTCATCTCCATGATCAGATTGGGCCATTGTGATCCATAGCGTTTTCATTGGCTGATTTTTGGAAGTAGATTTCCAGGCCTTTCTTCCTAGTCCATGTTAGTCTGGAAGCTCCGCTGAAACCTGTTCGGCGTCATAAGAACATGCATGCCTCCACCGACAGGCAGGTAATGGTTGTACATGAAGTGCATTGGCTGGAAATCAAACCCAGGTCTCCCTCATAGAAGGTGAGAATTCTACCACTGAACTTCCGCCGCCCCCCTGCCTTCCAAGATAGGTGACGTTAACTAGATCAAGAGAAGTTCAGATCTTTCGTGAGTCTTTTTAAACTTATCTGGCCTCTAGATATCCACATAATTAGCCAACAGTTCAAGATATCAGACACAAGGTAGCCTGGTTAAAATGGTCTCATTCATTATACACCTGTTAAACGGTATCTAGCTTATTGAATAGGCATTAATAATAAACATGATCTTTATACTCTCTGTATTTCCTCATGCCTTTTGTACACAGGGATTTTTTTTGAAATAGAAGAGGGTGGGGAGGGAGGGCTGTTGAAGGAAGGGATAAAACCAGGCCTTTATGCCATTCTAGTAAGTCTTAATTTTCAAGTGTTCAGCGGAGAAGCTTAGACCTTTCATTATATTTTAATTTGAAGTCTTCAAATCCTGCTTATGGAAGCTCTAAGTATTATTATGAATAAAAGCTCAGAATTGTTTTGTAGCTCTGAAATCATTTTTATAAGCCAGCCTCAATAGGCTAATTTACTTCTTATTTAGGAGTTGTAAATGTTCAGTGTTAAATATGTCTCCTGCAAATTGGTGATCTTATTAGTATTTTAGCCCTCTAAGTTATAAGCATTGTAACCATTTGGGAATAAGGTACACTGCCTACCTTTCAGCATACAATTTTGCAAACCTCTCCATATGGCTTGGGCTGAAATTTTAATGTATGCCCTAAAGGGCAAATGTAGCATAAACCAGATTATGGCACTTTGGAGCAAGATTTTGCTTATGTGCTGAATGCTAATTATGTTAACTTCATTTTGCTTTTTCATATTTTTTAAAACTTGTTTTGCCCCCATGAAATGCTTTAATATCTTGCTCCCTGGAATTTTTCTCTGCTGCTTTATTTCTCTGTGAATCAATCTGAATTTAGATTCTATCATAAGGCTATATGAGAACATAGGCAACAATCTCTTTTTGAAGTGCCTACATTAGTGGGACAGAGAATGAGATTTGGGCCTGATGGTAATTTCTTGCTAGAGGGTTTCTTTAAATTGGGGAGAAGTGAGCTCCAGGATAACAGTGGTGTCCTGAAGAGATGAAGACCTAGAGAGTTTCAGATTGCCTCAAACTTCTTGTTGTTAGTTGCAGCTGAGTCGCTTGTGACTTATGGTGACCCCATGTGTTACAGAGTAGAACTGCTCCACAGGGTTTTCTTGGCTGTAGCAGATCACCGGGCCTCTTCTTCTGCAGTACCACTGGGTGGGTTCAAACTGCCAACCTTTAGGTTAGCAGTCAAATGCAAATTGTTTGCGCCACCTAGGGACCTTGCCTCAAGCTTAGGTGAACCCATGACAAGAGTGAAATGTTATTCTCAGAGTGTGGTGCCCAGGCCAGCAATATCAGCATCCCTGGGAGCTTGCCAGAGTCTGCCGCTCTCTAGACCTACTGAATCAGAACCTCCAGGGTGTGGCCCAGCACTGTGTTCCAACAAGTCCTCCAGGTGATCCTGATACTTGCACAAGTATGAGGATCAACAATTCTCACCTATGGCTGTGCTTAAAAAAAAAAAAAAAAAAAACAGTTGCCATGGAGTTGATTCCGACTCATGGCGACCTCATGTGTTGCAAAGTAGAACTGAGCTCCCCAGGGCTTTCATGCTTCTTACAAATGCACATCACCAGGCCTTTCTTCTACGGTGGCTCTGTGTGGGTTTGAACTGTCAGCCTTTTGGTTAGTAGCCTAGTACTTAACCATTTGCACCACGCAGGGACTCCTACAGCTGTGCTTACTGGAACTCAAACCATAGCTTAAGAAGCTAAGAAATTAAAGAACAGTTTGAGCCTCTCCAAGGCCATTATCAAATCTCTAGGTCAAACCTGATAATTCTGTTCTGTCTTGTAGACTGTTTATATTTTGGCCCTTTGTTCTTTCTCTCTGGCTACTTTGAAGATTACCTTCTTGGTTATAGTATCACTGACCTTTTGAAAAAGGAAGAAAAAGTACAGAATAATGAGATTGTATTACCCAGCATCAAGGTGACAGTTAAGGCTAGAACTGACTTGCCTGGAACCTGTTCTCTTGGCGTTGGTTTTACACCCAGCCTGTATCCTGCTTCTCTTCCTCTTACCAGGTTAACTACCTTCAAAAGACAACACAGTCCTCTCTTTGGTTTGACTCTCCATTAGTCCCGTTCTCTACGCTCTTAATCCCTAAATATATGGTGTATCTGCCACTCCCTTCCCATGTCTGGTCATCTAAGGGTTGTTTGGTAGAATTAATGTGGACGCGTGAAGTAGAGAAGATAAAGAAAAAATAAATTTGAGTGTCTTAGGCTGATTCTCTAGAAAAGCAAAACCAGTGAAATGTATGTATGTATATATATATATATAGAGAGAGAGAGAGAGAGATTTAGCTCAAGGAAATGGTTCATGCAGTTGTAGAAGCTGGCAAGTCCCCAGTCTGTGGGTCAGATGTTAGTCTGAAGGCGTCTCCTGACTCACATAGCTGCAGGGGCTGACAAATCCAAGCTCAGCAGGTTGGATGACCGGCCACCGGCTTACAGACTGTGGAGGCTGACAAAAACAAGATTGGCAGGTAAGAGTGCAGGCTGCTGGCTGACAGGCTGCAGAGGCCGACAAATCCCAAGAGCTGGATGCAGGATCCAGAGCAATCAAGTGAGCTTTGCCAGAACATCCATATATATTGGGTGCAGGCCACATCCCCGAGGAAACTCCCCTTACAACTGATTGGCTGATCACATCAGATCACACCATGGAGTTGATTACATTATATTATGGGAGATCACAAAATGGGGGATAATTATATCATATCACAAAATGAAGGATAATTGTATAATACTGAGAATCATGGCCTAGCCAAGTTGACACAACATTAACTATCACAATGAGCATCCACCACTTAATAGTCATGTGTTCTTGGACGAGTCACTTAATTTCTCCTGATTTCAAGTTTTGTATCTGTAAAATGGAGAAAATTAATTTTAGTCCTGTGAGGATTAAATGATGTTATATATGTAATGTACTAAGTAAACTGTAAAGCAGTGTGTGAATATTTGGTATTATTATTGTTCTATGCCATCTTACTTATTGTTTTTATTCCTGTAATGCCAACAAGGAATTCAAATGGGCTAGAATCCCAGACACTTGGCATCACTTCTCAACTATGTGAACAGAGCAACCAGCAGGGACTAATTAAGACAACATGGACATATGTGTTTGCAGTACTTCCACCGTCCTGAATCAATACGAGGCTGAGTGTGAATTCCCATCACTCTGTCTCAGCCGAGCATTACACCCCCAGGAACATTAACGCACAGACACACACGGTTGCATGCACACATGCATACAAATAAATTCCAAATTCTATTTTAAAAGACGTTTTTTTCAATAGAGAGCATAGATCAGTGATGCTCAGTTTTGCCCATTAGAATCAGCTGAGCAGCCTTTGAAAAATACTGATCCACAGCCTCACCCCAGATCAATTAAAGTATAGTACCTAGGGGTGAGGTCAAGGCACCCATATTTTTTTTAACAATATTAAGAACCACAGGCCTAGAATCGTAGAATGTCAAAGTTGGAAGAAGACTTAGAAATCTTCTACTTCAGTGATATTTTATGACAAGGTCCAGAAAACTTAAGCTAGAAACCTAGA